CAGCAACCTCAGGCCACTGGCATCGCGCAGGATTCCAGCCCCCCGCTTGACCCCGGATATTAGTGTCCGCCAGCCCGTCGAGCCGTCTGCAGCGCTGGGAAATAAACCCCATCGTTCCCGTTGTTCCGAAGATGGAACTGTTTCCTTCCCAGGGATGTCGGCTCATCCTTGTTGTACGACAATCAAAACTTTTGTGTGTTCTTTTTTTATATTAACAAAGCGTCCCTATAATGAATGAGCACTTCTTATTTTTTTTTTTACATGAAAACAAAAATTCAGGGCATAAAAGGTTAAAACTGATTCTTGCAATATACAACCTGAAATGTCCAAAAGCACCGTCTGTCAATAGGAGCATATGGCAAGTGTTATTTTAATTATAAACAGGTATTAGCTGCTGTTGCCGGGGCCGAGCTGTTGTAATGACCAGTGTTTTCCTCACAGGTGGACAGAAGAGTACATGTGGCCACACGGAGTCCTGGTCAAACACAACAAGAATGTCTACAAAGCAATGGGTCACTATAATGTAGCAGTTCCTTCGGATGTATCACATTATCGATTTTATGTAAGTAATAGTAATTACTTTACATAGCTCTCTCTCTTGGGTGACACACAGCAGCTCCACTACTCGGCAGATTAAGTTCAGTGAAGGGAGAACTTTAGCCAGGACAACAGGGTTAGCACCTCTGCTCTTACAAACAGCCCTGGAGCCCCAGTTTAATATCTCACCTGCAGGATAGTACCTCCTACAGCACAATGTGTGGAGCAGCATGTACCCTATACAACTCTTCCACCCCATCAAACTCCCTACAATAGCATTGCAATTCTACTGAAAGGGCTACCTTTTCATAAATGAGTAAATAATGAGTGGTGGGTTATAAGAATATTTTATATGCGTGGGAATATACTGTATATGAATATATATCGTGAAGAATATGTATGAATATACATCTGGGAGAATGTGTGACAATATATGGGAGTCAGTGAGAATATTTATAAATATACATCAGGGGGAATGTGTGACTACATACATGAATATTTATGAATATATGTCAGTGAGAATGTGTGAGAAAACACATTAATATAGATCAGGAAGAATATAAGTGTATATGATTATACAGTATGTCAGTGAGACTGTGTTAGGATATTTATGAATGAGTGACAGTGAGATTGAGAGTGAACATGTATTTGAATGTATGTCGGTGAGGTAAGCACACCTGAGATTATAGCAAACCTGATGTGCACTTACCCAGTCTGCACCTGTCGGGTCTTTCTTTCTCTTCCGCAGTTTTTCTTCAACAAGCCCTTGCGAATATTGAACATCCTTATCATCCTGGAGGGGGCAATGATATTCTACCAGCTCTACTCCTTGATCTGTTCAGAGAAGTGGCACCAGACGATATCGCTGGCTTTAATCCTCTTCAGTAATTATTATGCCTTCTTCAAATTACTCCGGGACAGGATAGTACTAGGGAAGGCTTACTCGTATTCCTCAAGCAGCACTTCTGACCAGAAAATAAGTTAAATGTTGCCATGGAACAACTACAGAATATGCCAGAGAGCTTTGTATTTTTTCTACAAGTGCTTTTTTTTCTTCGTGTCGTTGTTGTTTGTTTTTGGTTCTTTTCTGCCATAATAAAAAAACATATTTTTGTATTCCCTTAAAAGAGTCTTCCTTTCTTTCTTTGGTTGTATTTGAGGTGTTACTGAACGCTTGTGTGCTGGGGTTGTGTGTGTGTAGACAGTACAATGGTAGAAATGTGTGGGCATCCTCAGAGTATATGGCACTGGCTGGGACAGATGTCTCCGAAGATTTTTTGCCTACAATAAAAAAGATCTGAAAGAAAATAAAATGACACACTGCATCAGTCTGATAGTGTTTTTTCCCCTGATACTCTTTTGCAAATGTCAACACATCAACACATTGTGGCTCCAGATGTCTTGGACTGCCGGCTTTGTCTCATCACTGCTTCTCTCAGTTAAAAAGTGTTTGAACGGCAAATGAAGATGTTTTTCTTCTCTTGGAATGTTTGTTCTGTTTCTTCTTCAAAGATGGCACTTGGGTGCAGAGTCCAAATGTAAGCACAGAAAAACACAACTGTCTCCAATTTATGAGGCAAGATAGTGTTTTGGATACACCTGGAACTGCTGATAAAATCATTGGTAGTCTAGGTTCAGCCGATTTGCCTGAAAATCCTTACCACCGGTAAACAGAATGAATCGCTATTCATTAAACCCCTGGAAAGATATAGCTGAATAATTTGTAACTGAAGAATAGAAATCCTCCAAGTCAAATGCACTACTCACAATTGCTTGCAATGAAGGATGCCAATAAAACAATTTGGACTGTGGTTCAGGGTACAAATGTCGCAGCCAAAATAAATTCAAGATCATCTTTATTTCCGTCCCTATCCTGGACACCTGATTGCACAGTAAAGAGCAAAGGCACTGTGGGCTTGACGTTCAGATGGAGGACAGTTTCTGACTGTTTTGAAGATAATCTATCTTGCAGATAACCAGCTCTTTTGTTGTTCAGAGTGCGTTGTGATGGACAGTTCATCAGTGTGCTCTGTGTGAGTGATTATTGAGTTGACTCTGCTGAGTAAGCCGTTCACCAATCTACCCCTCACGGACTTTGTTACAGTTTAATTTGATGCAGCTGGATTGCTGAAATGTAGGGGCCTAAGCTTTAAATGCATCGAAAATGAATCAGTTCTCTGGATTTTCTGTTGATAATAATCAAGGTATGAGTTACTGTGAAATTAACACAACATTACAAATTTTGTGTTCTAGACATGGTTAATGTCTTTGTTTCTGGGATGGTGGCATTGCGATTATTGCTGCTGCCTCACAGCTCTCAAGTCCTGGGTTCGATTCTGGACAGTGGCACGTTCTGTGTGCAGCTGGCATGTTTGGAGTGTTTTCTTTAGGTGCTCGGATAGGTGTTGGCTGGTTTTATCATTTCTTTAGTAATGTCAGACAGACAATTGAATCCTTGGAGAATGTTGCTGAAAAAACGTTTAGGAAGACATGACAAGGAAGGATTGCACACAACTTATCCTGACCATAATATCCCACTCAAGATCTGACAGCTCTTTCAAGATAGGCACTGCCAGAACACGCATAAATTGCAATTGCTGTTTGGCTACAGACAAATTAACACTACAAGCTGAACCTTAGCTGTCTTGTGTATTATCTTGTGTATTCTTTTTATTTATTGTTGTTGTCATTCTATAAAGCCCTTTGAGAAGCCACCTTTAAAGGCGCTATATAAAATAAAGTTTATTATTATTACTATTATTATTACTACTTGGGAGTTAAAATAAGGACTGACTCTCAGAGAGAGTTTTTTTCATCTCGTACGTGTGAGTAATTTGTATGGCATCATTTATTATCTAACTGCGAAGCTCTGAATGAATGCTTCAACTTGGATTGTCATCGGCATGCGTGCATCAGTCAGCAGAGCTGTTCAGGCGTAGTTCCTCGCCGAGCAATCGCCGGCTCTGAACCGCCCACCTTTTTCTAAAACGCGACGACGAGCCATTTGGCTGCTCCGGGCTTCCGTCGTCTTCCGACATATTGTCTGCGGACAGCAAATTCTGGAAGGGAGGGAGAGCGGGTGTGAGATTAAAATTAACAGAAATCGGGACAGAAGAGAGACACGGGGGGGGCTGTCACCGGACGTATATCTGCCGCAATGGGTGAGTTGAAAACGTGTAGCTCCCCGCAGAGCAGGCGGAGAGAGGGCGTCGGTAGACGGGCCGATTCCCCGGGTCACAGTTTCTCTCAGCCGTGCGGGCTGGTGGCGGGGGGGAGATCACGCTTGTCAAACCCCGGCCCTGTCTCTGCTGGAAAACGGGGCAGGGGTGGGGTGGGACGCGCTGTGTCAGGGGCGTGGGATCCGTTTCGACTCAAGCGGCAGGTTTTGTCTGGGGACGGGTCCGTGGCGCGGCGCGGCTCGGCTCGGCTCCCGGGTGTGGGCCGTGTGTGGACGGGCCTGAGCTCAGGAGAGGCCGTGCGGCTGTTTCCAAGGGAGGGGAGCGGAAAAAAAAAACACCTTTTACAGCAGCCATAGGCGGAAAAATTGCAGAAACGCTCCCTAATATTACCCACTCTCACAGTGTCACTCCACCTGTCTGCATGGTACGTAACATAAATAATAATAAAAAAAACCCTACAAAACGTGATCTTGATTTGGATGTTTATAGCAGTGGCTCATTATGCACTGTCTTAGTACTAGACGTGTTGTGGCTTTTTAGTAATCCGATGATTTCCATTATCAGAAGTTTTTTCTTGTTTCTTTTTTGGCCTGTAGGATGTACAACACAGTATTTGTTTTTCTTCATATATCCTCTCCGTCGTATGAGAAACTGCGGGGAGGGGATCGAAAACGGCGTTTCAAGAATTACAATATTTCCACATACATGAAATTTGTGTGAACCGCTGGTGTGGCGGCTTCCGACATTTTAACTGGCAGGCCTACCGCCGTTTCTCTCTAGTTTGTCTTTTGAAACCTCTGTATTAAAGAAAGAGGGAATCATCTCCCGATTTGATTTAGATTTTTTTTTTGCAGTATCGCTAAAGTAGAATGGAGTTTGATTTAAAGGATCTAATTGTGCCCGGTTTTTCAGATATAATTCAATTTGCCTTTGTCTGACTTAAACGGGTCGGTTTCTATTCACACGTTTTTAGGTCTGTTTTGTTCATGCAGGATCTGATTCATATTTGCACAAGGCTCTTGAGTCAGGCAGTGACTCATGTGCTTAAGCTCTCTCGAGTATATTCTTCAGCCTAGCTGGGAAACGCTTCATTTCTGAAAGTCGGTAGCCCCCGATATTCATCGTGAACTGTTCCTCTGCGGCATCGTATTTGATAACTGCAGACAGAGTCGTAAGGGACCAGTAAATGCGGAGGTGTCCTGGGTTTGATCGTCTCTAAGCCAGGGGTTTCGATTCTGGCCCTGCAGAACCACAGACCCGTTAGTGTTTCTGCCACCTGAGCACTCAAGTAATCGCTCCTTTAATATAGCTAATGATAGGTCAAGTAAAACCTCTTTCCCTGGAGTTCCTCAAGATTTATGAGGCTGCCTTTTAACTATTAAGTTGTCAGTAAAATCTACAGCCTTCAATAATAATAGTCATTCCTTACAATTACATAGTGCCTTTCTAGACTCGCTGACTCAAAGTGCTTTACAGGTAATGGGGACTCCCCTCCACAACCACCAGTGTGCAGCACCACCTCTGAGTACCAGGATAAAAAAAACCTGCAGAGGTTCCAATCAGGCAACTTGTTGTCCAGTTAAGGATTCATAGGTCAGGGGCTCCGCTGCAGTGTGGATCTCTAGGACCAGGATGGGGCAGTCCAAAAAGACTGAATTGATCCGTTATTCCTCATTTCTGGATGCCCAGGATGGCACTTTCCCTGGACGTGAAGATCACAGGACCAGGGGTGTCCAGGTGTGGTTCTGGAGGAGCGACTGCAGGGTTTCAGTCCAGCTCAGCTCCTTGTGACCTCACTCAGACTGCTATTGGCTTGCCTGGACCCATCTGACTGCTTCTCACTGCTCTTCAGGCCCTGCTGGCATTAAAGACCGACTAGCAGGCCTTGGCACTTGCTGGACAGCTCTGACCCAGAGTGAATAGTCTGGGGCTGCTGAAGGTATCACAGTGTATCGGTCACAAGCATATATATGTGATGCATTGCTTTCTCAGCAGCTTAAATGTAAATTAAGGGTCATACATTTTACAGCGCATAGAACATTTTGTATTTTTGATCACTTACACATGTATTGACTGAATTTAGGTCTTTTGTGTAAAAAAACAATTACCCTCTTCTTGGTATGGCTTTTCAGACTTCCTTGGATTGTTCATTCCTAGCCGATTACAGTGGTTCTGATCTAGCATTGTGTGTTTAAAAAATGAACTGGACGTCTGTACGTTTGTCCTGAGGTTTGGAGAACACGGTGGGGTGTTGAATTGCGAAGTGCCAGAGGGAGATGCAGTTCCTGCTAGCGGTTTCGGAAGAGGTCGCAGTCACCCCTGAACCTTTTAGGAAGGGAATGGAGGTTCTCGGAGAGTTTGCTCGTTTGGAAGGAAGTTGTCCGGTTTGATCTCGTACCTGAGAAGGAAGCCCAGGCAGGTGCCGTCTGCGCTGAGATATCCGTGTGTGCAGTCTGGCCCTGCCTCCCAGCTCCCTGAGCGTGTCCCAGACCAGGAGCACAGCTTCCATGGAAAAACAGACGGAGCTGCTAACTGCTCTGCTGCTGGTAACTCTGAAGCGATCGTTTTCAAGTGCTTCTATATCTTCGATACTTTTTGTGTCATGCAGCTCAGTTGCATAGTTTGAAGTGAGTCGACGTTTTGCTTTAGATCTCTTAGTTGCACCTTACATTTTATATATTTTATCTTAATCTGAGTTTGAGTTTTTCGGTCCCAAGCAGCTTGCAGATAGTAGGTGTCTCCCTGTTCTTTTCAAGGCACTTTTCCACCGGAGCTGAAAACAGGTGCCTGGAACAAGCCCTGTTGTGGGAAAACAATACCCTGGCTTCTTTCATGAAACGGCCACATGAGCGAGATCCCTGGACCAGTTAGCTGCTAACTACCAATTGGCCTGCTGGACTGAATGACCCCTTCTT